GGGGGTTCTTGGGCTGTCCAACCGGTATTTGTTGAATGGGGAAAACAAATGGTCCTACATAGGAAGCCCCAGGCAGCAAGGGTATTACTCACGCGAGGGCTCGGGCTGTAGGGCACATTCTCGGTGTGTCTTTAAAAACAGGGCTTCTCAGTCTTGGAGGCACAGAGGAATCAGCTGGGCGCCGACCGACTGCGTCAGAAGCCCGGGGGTGGGGGAGGGGCCTGGGCAGACCTCCCCAGGGCGTTCCGGTCTGCAGGCGCCCAGCCTTGGAGCTCTGGGAGACCGGCAGTCAGGAGATCTTCAGCGACTGGCTCCCTGCCTTGCAGCAACCACACCTTCGTCTGTTTTACATTCTGCACGAGCTTGCTTTCCTTTGAAGGGTGCAGGGACCTCAACGTCCGCCTCCCACCTTCCTGAGCGTGGTGTGGGATTGGGTTTGAGTTGGTTTCTGGTTTGTGTTGAACCGATTCCGCCCCAGCTCCAGCTCCAGAGATGGGTGCGGACTGATCTAAGCCCATCAGGGTCATCCGAGCTCCCAGGGATTCACTGAGATAGCTCTGACCTAAGCCCTCCAGCCAGAGACTAGCTCTGGAATGGTCCAGTTGGCTCCAAGGTCAGGACTCTTGCTCACTAGAGCGGGAAGGTGAATGCGAAGCACCCCGTGGACACCAGGGTGTCGGCCTGGGATGAGGGTGACCATGTGGGTGGGCAGGAGGACAGAGGACCTGAGTCCTTGCCTACACCCCTGAGCATAGTTGCTACCTGTGTGTCCCCTTTATCCAGCACAGTCTGACTTGGAGTTCCTGTTCCCTGCCAGTGACCGTTCCGTTCATAAAAAAGGTGTCTGAAGCTGGGTAAGGAGAGTTAGGTCATCGCTGATGGGGAAGCCTTCCCTGGGAGGCCCTCTGAGCCAGAGCCGCTTCTGGGCTCTCTGGTGCCACTCGGCATGCATCAGGAAACGTAAGTCACACCAAGACTCGAGGCTCCCCCGATTCTTTGTCTTGCCTGGGCCCAGGAAGAAGTCTCATGTTGGTGTTGGTGTGCCCCAAATCCCTCCGATTTTCCTTTTTAACAAGCAGAGCCAGACTCAGGCTCACAGCCCTCAGCAAGCGGTAACTGGTGGCGAAGTTTTAGTCTCATGTTTTGTCTTGAATTTATTTTTACGGACGTCTTCGTTAATGGCAAATTCTGCTGCCTGTCCTTTTTTGTAGAGACAAAGTTTTCCTTTTTAAAAAGGGCAGTTGAGACCTAAGTACATAAAGCAGTTGTTAGGCAGATGACCAAGGCGGCAGTGTGAGTGAGGAGGGTGGGAGATGCTGTGCCGGGGAAAGCATGACGTGCCGGTTTAGAGACAAGGCTTGTGTGTCTGCGTTCACAGCAGGGAAAGCCTTTCTTACGGGGCGGGCTTGTCTTTAGCCAGGATCAAGGCTGCATGATGCAGTTGGAATGCCAGTGGCCGGGGACTCAGATGTCCTGGGTCCGAGTCAGCCTCTCTCTCTCTCCTCTGCCAGCTGGGATCTTGGGACAAATTAGCTTCTCAAACCTGGAGCTGATACTCCCTTCACAGGATTTTTTTTTTTTGGTTGGGGGTGGGTGGGTATTTGGGCTCTAGGGCAGGGCTGTTTTGAGGACTCAAATTATCTTGGAATTGAGTACCCTACTAGTCCCAGGAACACTTCAGGGATGTCTGGAAAGTACCGGAGGACTTGCAGTGTGTGCCGAGCTCCTAGGAAAGGTGTAGTCATGCCCCTAGCCTGAAGGAGGAGGGGTCCTTGGAGGACAGGGCTCTGTGTTTGAGCCTCACTTGGTTCCCTCTTCCTGGGGAACCCCGTTTAGCTAGCCTTGGCGGCAGAGGCAGCCACCAGGAAGTTGTGCAGGGCCTTGACCATTAATCTCTAGGCTCTCAGTCTGGCGACTTCACGTAGTTGGTACAATGTAGCGTCATGTTCAGCTCTAGTCCAAGTCACAGCCAGCACAGTGCTTGCAACTACACTGGGAAAGCCCTTTTATTTCTAGCCTCTTATCAGTTTCCAAAAGGTGAACAATTGGCTTATTAGGAGATCCATTTTGCCTCAGTAATAAAACCTTAATAAAGGTCCAGCCGGATTCAGGCAAAAGCCAGCTGAGGTTTAAATGGCCTTGATGGTGTGCAGGGCAGTGGTGGCACTTGGCCTGCATCACAGGTGCAAGAACATCGTATTCTGAAACACACACAGCTGCAACAACTCGTTTAAATAGTGAAGATTCTGGGGGCGCCTGGGTGGCTCAGTCGTTCAACGTCTGCCTTCGGCTCAGGTCATGATCCCGGGGTCCTGGGATCGAGCCCCGCATCGGGCTCCCTGCTCGGCGGGAAGCCTGCTTCTCCCTCTCCCCTTGCTTGTGTTCCCTCTCTGGCTGTCTCTCTGTCAAATGAGACTATGGACCTTCCAGACGTTCCTTCCTCCGTCCTTCTCTTACTTGCACTTTGAAGTCACGACTGGAGCATTTCCAGGATATGCAACTTTCACCTCGTATGCAGGTTTTTTGAACCCAACTCCCACCTAATTTGCAATTCCACTCAGATTTAAGTTCTGATGAACATTAAAGTTGTTTTTAAGTGGAGTACGTTGATGGGAAGTAGCAGGATGCAAAGAATTCCAGAACGGTGACCCTCCTTCGGTGCACGTTTGGATCTGTTTTCAAGCTCACCTAACAGTAGTCGATAGAAAATGCCGTATTTCCTAACTGGATGCACCATCAAGAATTTATCTGGCTTTCTAGACCACCTCATGGTGGCCAACTGGCAACTGGTGTGTTGCAATGCCGTGTCAGAACAGCACAAGCAACCTCTTCTATGTCGTTTTCTGCGGGGCGGGGGGCGGGGGGCGTTCAACACTTCGGTGAGACATGCTTGCAGTTGCTGCTGATCCAGTGAGCTACAGGGTAGGTTAGAAGTTAAGGGTCACAGTGGGTAGAAGAGACCATTGCCTAAGAAAGGGGCAGAAGGCTGACCTGATGCTCTGCGAAATCCACGTATCGGATATATTCAAATTTCATTAATAGAGAGTGTTCTCTTCCATCTCGCAGATGAAGTGATTCTCAAGCTTTAGTAGCACAGGATCCCTGAGAGGATTTGGGGGGCCTCCATCTCAAGGTTTTGATGCTGGCAGTCTGGGGTCGAGGTAGGAAAACCACCCCTGTACATAGCAGTACTCACTCGACAAAAGCAAGTTTAATGGCTTCCAGGGGTTGTGTTTCAGTTGGGGCGTCCCCCAATCACCGATAGGTTGTTTTCACATCTGGCACTTACTTTGTTCTCTTCTGAAAAGTATCTATCTTTACAAACGGGCAGGCATTTGGATTGGATACGCAACTACAGGGCAATCAAAGGGGTAAATCCTTTTCTGCTGAGATCTTAAGAGAGGGACAAAGAGCTGTTTGATGGAGACCAACGATGGGAGAAGAAAGCGCCTCTATGTGCTGAAAAGGGAGAGAAATCATGCTGCTCATCAGTCTGACTCTCGAAGTCAGGGCCACAAGAAAATCGGAAGGACATAAAGAAAGTCTCCTGGGAAGAAAATTTACAGAATTGTTCGGTCTACAGTTATAGACGTTATCTAATTAGAAGGTGGCAGGTTGCCACAGCTTTTATTTCCAGATTATTCCAAAAGCAAACAGTAGCAACGACATTCTTTTAAAATGGCTTTTATTGAGACACTTTTAGGGCTTCTGCTACATCGCTAGTTGGGGATCTTCTTTATTTCCAATTCTTAGGTGGCTAAATTCTTCTCTGAATGCCTACAACGCCCATTCCCACCACCTTAGCGAGGAAGCACACGGTCTCTGCTTAAATGTTCAATCAGGAATGTATGTCCCCCTCTGCTCTTCTATACAAGTCTCCTTAGGCCTCCTAAGCCCAGACTCCGTTCTTTCCCATCTAGTAATTGATTAGGCAGACTAATTTCAAACCAAGGGTGAGAGGGCTTCAGTTCAGCTATTACTATCCTTCAGAGAAAAGCTTTCTCGATGCCAGTTCTTCTGATTTGATAATCCGTGGCATCTTAATTTAGGGACATCCTGTCCTAAACATTATTAGCTGGTGTCTGCAGAATTTATAATCTCCTTGTAGAACAGACTTAAAATAACTCCATGCCAGCCCCGAACGCCCTAAAGGTCCTGCTTGGTCTATTCTTACACTTTCTCCTGTAGTTTCTGAGAAGCAGGATGTTAACATTTTAGGAGGAGATTGGTCAACTTTCTTTGGTCTTGTTAATGCTTTTGTCACAGCTATCTTTGGGAAGGAGTCTTAGAAATTACGGATGCCAGCCACTGAAGACCTCTTTAGACCAACGTCCCCGAGAGGTGCTTGCTAGGCTTCTGTCCTCTGCATGGATTGGCGCTTTCCATCATTGTTGTAATTACTGAAACAGTGGCCTAATACTGCCTCCTCGTACTCTTCCATTCTTTAGTCCAAGCTGCTCTTGGGAATCTATGTAGTAAATATACTAGCTCTTTCCATCTTAACAGCCCTTCAAGTGTGTGATCTCCAAAGCCTTTTTAATAGCAAGATGGTCAAGAGAATTACAACAAAAGCAGAGAGTAGTTGCCTGTTTAGTACAATTGTTCCCATTATAAGGTGAAAACTAACATTTACTTCCTTTTATAAGAAAGAACGCCAGGGTATTAATATTCTGCTTGCAAATTAATGCCAATTTGTTTACATCCTTTTATCATTGAGACATTTACACATATAAGCAGGCTCTGCTCCTTAACAAAAGGGGAACTGAAAAACTCATGAATGTTTATTTTTGCAGTTAAAAAGGAAAAAGACAAAACCAAACCCAAAGAATTTGTTCACAGGTGCCTTGAGAGAACGCATTCTTAATGCCAGTGGCACATCTTGGTCTTCTGTAAGTTTCCTCAGTGGCTGTGGCTTCCACCTCTGATGAAAGTGAGCCATGGCATCAGCTGGTACAAGACCTAATGGACACACAGGACTGTAATGTGTAATAAAGCAAGTATTTACATTAAGCACAATACAGCAATTTATTGAGATGCTTAAAATGAATACAAAGGGAAATAAAGGTCACAAAATTATACATACTACAACAGTGTGTCATATATTAGATGGTATAAATGAATACACCAGGGTGGTGCTCAACTAAAGATAAAACTAAATATCCAAAATGCAGCACTCACTGGTTTGCTGCTTCAACACAACACACTTTCATACAGATCTAAACGGTGTCAAAATTAGTAGCTGCAAAGTCAGTTCTTGCATGGGATTTGTTAGCTTAAAAGATTTCAGAAAACAGATCTGAAATACCAGTTTTTGTTTCTGTCAGCTGTAATGTCAAGGATATTCAGAACAAGAAAAATTCTATAATACAAGAGAGTCCAGATATAGATCTTATGTGGCTGGCCTCTGCTGCAAGATTGTACAAGGTTATGTGCAAAAACTAAGTCTGTCCAGAAGTCCATACTAGCGCACTTTCAAGCTTTTGCTAGGTAAGCTAGATAGAGCGTTTATTACACAGCAAGGGCAACACTAAAAAAAGAAACAAATCTAGGATGGGTACACAATAACAATATCATAGGCATCACTTGAATAGGTCTAAAAGACTGTACAAATATACATTTCAACTATTCAGAATGAATACATGAAAAAAAATTGATTTTCCCCAAAGTCTACTGTACACATTGGACTGGTAGCTTGAATGTTGGCCCTACACTACCGTGTGAATCAGGGTAACGCTTCCCAAGAACATCCAACCAAACATTTTACAGAGGGAAAGAAATGTCGAGAAGGCAGATAAAATAAACCTCTGCTTTTCCTCATGTGCGTTCGTGAGCCACCAGCTTATTGGTTGTTCACATTTATTCACTGTGTCTGTCACAGCAAGTTCTGAAGCAAGATCAGCCAATCGTGTGTCACAGACTTAGAAATAACCACTGGGATTAGCAGTGGCCATGTATCCCTACAGCCTGATGACCCAGCACTCAAAAGGCAGTACCAGCCAGAATACAGCTTTGCAGTCCTACCGAAAGGAGAGCAGAGCTCCAGGCTGCAGCAGGTCACCGATGCCTGAGAACCTGGTACTTAGGCCTGCTGGCTGCTCAGTTTCACTCCGGTTAGGCTGCCATGCATTGGCTCAGCAACCCCATCAGTCATGTTGTCAAACTGCTCCCCATCCTCACTGTCAATTGTGCTATTCTGCCACTCAATCTGTGGGTTAGATAAGCGCTCATCATTTTCAGATGCGTTCTTCCACTGTGACTGGTCCTTGGACCAAAACCCTTCAACTTTTCCATAGGAACTATTCTTCCATTTCAACTGCTCTCTGTCACCTTGCATGGTAGCCTTTTTTTTGGCAGCTGGCTTACTGCTTCTTGCATCTTCACTCTGGGAAGACTCATCAGACCAGGTTCCTGCTTTCATTTCACATGTGTTGTCCTCAAAGTCTGACACTTGTTGGGAACCAGGGCCACTCTCAGATGGAGAAGCACCATCTTTCCACTCAACAACATCATCCTGGTCAACCTCACTGTCAGAAGCATCATGCATCAGTTTGGCTGGTTCCTCAGTCAAATGAATAGTTTCATATTTTGAACCATCCTCCTCTTTTTGGTCTAGCTTCTCCTCAGATTCTAAAGCATCCTCAGAAATGACCTTCGGTATGTGTTCCTCTGGGTTATCGTTAGAGATTTTAGGCTCAACTTCAAACACAGGGTCAAAAGGGCTACCACTTCCATTGGATTCTTCCTCCAAATTTTCAAAACTGTCTGAGGAGCTGTCCTCCTCCTTCCCAAGGCTGAGCTTTTTGTCAGCAGTTTTACTAGCATTGACTCTGGAATCCTTCTCGTCATGATTCTCAAACAGCCACTCAGCATCAAAATCCATCTCGTGCTTCACTTTGTTTAGTTCTTTCATGTTGAAGCCCAGTAACACACCAGGCTTGTACTTTTCACAGTCTCGGACACACTTCTTCCTCTTGTTACTAAAATGGGAAGCAATGTCACTCTTCCACAACCACAAACTGGCGGCCAGCTTCTCAATTTCTCTCCTGGTGGGATAGGGCTGTTTGTTAAAATACTTCGTTAGGAAGCTTTTCCTGGCTTCATAGGAATCATCTTCATGACCCTTGGGGTCTAAAGCTAAAACAACAGGCTCCTCAGGCTTCTCTTCAAAGAAGCTGGGCGAATCGCTATCATCGTCTAACTTTCGCTTTTTCAGCAAGGGAAATTCCACTTGCTCGTAAGTGCGCTTGACAGGTGCCAGGCCCGGTGACTGATTAAGCCGAGAGGGTGCATTTGTCTTATCCTGGCCATTCTGGGTCTTTCCAACACCCCTGCAGTGAACGAGATGCAGAGTGATAGTCGAGGCGGTCATGTTGCTGGTGTACACACCAAGGCAATGGATGCATTTGTAGGTGAGCTTTTTTTCCACGGGATGAACCGTCTGAATAACTTGGTGCCTCTCTCGTAGGTGATGTGCAAGTGCATCAGATATGGGTCCTTTTAGGATTGAAAAGCAAAGAGGGCAAAGGGTTTTCCCAACATCTTTTTTATAGGGCACTGCAGCTTGAGGTGAACTTTTAACAGGGATATCTGCCTTTTCCTGAACTTTTGGCTGTGGCTTTGGAGGGACTGGAGGGTTATTTTGGGCATGGTAAGCAACAGATTCAGCCGGGGCATCCCTCAGGTTGTATGTGGTTACCAGGAGATGGATATTAGTGTGACTACCCTGCTGCAATGTCAAATCAAAACTCAAAGTGGAATCTGTTTTAGGTCCCATCTCTTCATCAATGTGAACCATCCGCATGTGTGCCGCCATCTTCTCCACATCGTTGAAAGTTGAACGGCAATATGGACAAGACAGACCATGAATTAACATATGGTTGAGCAGGGTATCTGTGGGCAAATAGCGATTACAGTAGAGGCATTTGCTAGTAAAATTGTGTATTTTCATAATGTAGTTGGCTACTGCTGGGACTTTCTCAGCTTTATGTTCTTTTTCGAAGTGCACACTATACACATTTTCAGGAAAAAGCTCATTACAGATTGTACATATTTTCCACTTTTGAGTTGAGGAAGTATTGGCTGGGGGAGGGCCCGTGGCAGCTGCAGGAGGTTTGGAACTGGACTGACCTAATACTCTGGATGCCTGTGACTGGGAGAGGGAGGGAGACTTTAGCTGGCCTGCTGAGAGAGAAGAAGCATTAGCAGCCTGCAGGGAGTATCTTGCTGGTGCCTGGGACCTCTGCTCTGACCCAAGCCCGTAAGATCTTCCATTTCCACTTGGAAGTAACTGCTTCACAGACTGAGACTGTTGAGGGATGGAAACTGGTGCGTTGCCACCTAGACCCAGTCTCATTGACTGACCAACGCCATAGCCCTGGCCTACAGATTTGACTCCATAGTTATTTTGCTGTAGGTGAACATTGGACATCATGTTGACTCCTGTAGAATTTAAGTTAGGCTTTGGTATTGAGAGTCGATTTACCATCTGCTGTGATGGCAAAGACCGGACATTTCCAGAAGCAAGGGAACCAATTCTTGACTGGAGTCCCATGCCCTTCTTCTCTTGAGGTTTGGGAGCAATTAGCATCAAGGGTTTGGATCGGGGAACCACCACATTTGTGTGCCCAATCATGGCAGTGACCTGATAGCCTATGCGTTCATGGTCTTCGATGACGTGTTGTACCAAAGCTTCGTAGGACTTTGGCATGAAAAGGCATCTCTTGCAGTGAATACTACTCTCTTCCCGGGCATTTGAACCTAAAGGGACTGCACCGTTGAGTGACTTCTCACCTGCCTTTGCTATGTAAGGCGCTGCCACGTGCTGAAAATGTTCCCTGTAAATGTGCTTCCTAACGATTTCATAAAGAGGATCTCGGTAAGTGCACTTCTTACAGTAATAAACAGCTTGTTCTACACTGTCAGCCTGCTTAGGTTTAAGGCCATCATTTTTGCTTTTATCTTTGAAAGTGCTGAGGCTGCTACTTGGTGCGCTGGCATTTGGAGCATGAAATATTTTAATGTGTGTTTCCAAAGTCTTTTTGTCTGCATTGAAGGTACAGTAGGGGCAATTAAGGAGAATCCTATTTTCAAAGTCTTCACTATGGACATTCCGGAAATGACTTTTGTAGGCAGAGAAGAATTTTGAAGAAAATGGACAAGCACTGCAGCAAAAAGGTTTCGTCCGGTAGTCCTAAAGACAAGACAAAAACTGGAATTAGAATGCCACTTAAGGAAGGTAGTAACAGGTTCTAGATTTTTTCCCCCAGATGTTCTCTATTTTTAATAGAGATACAATGCTATTTTTAGAACTGAAACTCTGTAATGAACTGATATAATTTTTTTCCTTTTGCAAAACTAATTTGTAAAATATAAACCCAAATGAGAAAGCTGTTTTAAACCAGATTTTTATTTGGGTCCCAGAGTATTAAAAAACCCCTCAATTCTAAGTTTCCCCTCAATGCTTAAAAAAGATCAAAGTCACATTTGCTGACTGGTTTTAGAGAAGCCAAAGACAAATGGCTTCAAAGATAAACATTTTACAGTTAGAAACGACAAGAATAAACACTGTGAAATCAGTCACTCCATGAGAATCAGTAAAGTTGCGAAAGGTTGTTCAGATTTACTGTTCGGTAAAACTCAGGGCCCAGAGTGCTGTAGTGCAATTAGGCAGTAAGATATAAAGATACGCCCTTTGTCCCTCCCATCATGGAAAATCTTCAAAAGTCTCAAAACTTTTTCCCACTGATTGAAGTAGTGTAGTATTTAGATTTCATTACTGATCAAAAAGCTACTGATTTGAAGAGTTGGCTTTCTTCTATAAGCCATGATCTCTTTTCTCAAGCAAGAGCAGCTTCAAAAGAACTAATGAAGTGATAGCTGCTTTGATTCAAATTAAGAAGTTAAATAAAAATTTCTTTCCTACAGACTATGAGGAGTGCATGATGTTAAAAATCCAGTAAAGTATTGCAGAATATACTGATATCAAAGAGCAACTTCCAGAATTATGCTCATTAGCACTTGCGCAGTTTGTCCTTTGAAGACCGGTGAAACACAAGCTGGGCAAGAGATTATCTTTCCTCCCTAGAAACCTACTTTGTTTCAGATACTGGTTTGACACAAAATAAAATACTCCGCTTCTCCTTAAAGCTCAACCCCCTATTTAAATGTGTTAGAATGTAAAGCTTTGGGATTCGTAAAAACGAATTAAGTGGTATGTCCCACTGGAAAGCTTTTACATTCAAAGACTTCTGGTGCATACCTTTTTTCCCTGGGGTATGGATAAGAAAAAACGAGGTAACTATACTCTCAAATTTCTGAGGCAGAGTTTAAAAGTACTGCCAACATTTAAAATCCCTGCCCAAATATATTCCGATAAACAGATCAATAACTACAGAACTACAATCACTACTGAAATAGGTAATAGTAAAGTCTGCAGTGACAATCACTTCTCCCTGTAAGACAGGAAACACCACCTACCTATATCACCTTCTCTGTCACATTTTTTCACCTGCTGACACTTGCTGGCATCACTGGTGCCTTGGACTACCTAATAGTGTTTTTAATACCACTTTGTAAAAATTTAAGTTATACCTTTCTGTCACTACTGTCCTATAAAGCCACCCATCCCCTTCCCCATGTGCTGGCTTAGCAACCCCAGGTGTTGGATGATACCAACACAGAAAAAAACACCCTCTCCAGAAGTAACATGAATTGTGACAGACACAAAAAAATGATGGATGGCCTAGATGAACAGAATGTTGGAGGGTACATTTCAGAAACAGAAGAGCCAAAGTACTGCTGATACATTGTTGATATACAGCAGACCTTAGAACATTTAAGTAACAAAATTTCCTATTCTTACACTTGAAGTTTCAGTCCAACAACAAAAAAGACAAATTCTTCCTAGTTTTCCCTGCCACTTAGGAAAACAAATAATCAATTTTGACATTTTCCATACAAGGTTGCTGCCCACAAAACAATGCTTCACTATGACAGGCCTAGAGCTGAAAAGGGAGTATACCAAGGATGTAGCCATTTGGGAAGTCCCCTGTGCTACTTACCTGATTTTTTGTAAGTGAAGGGTCCCACAGTCCTACATCCTCCCATGTAGTGTTTTTCAAATAAAAGTCATTAGGTTCAAACTGTTTAAAATCCTAGAAAACAGTGAAAAAAGTTTACAAAAACACAGTGATACTAACTCTAGCCCAACCTTACTTAGAAATCCCATCTCTTAACTAGAGCTAAGACACAGAAAAGCCAACCCCACCAAGAACTAAACTAGGAATGATAAGGCTCTTAGGAAATACAAAAAGGCATATGGAAGTTGCATTCTATATTTTCTAACAACCAAACATTCCCCTAATGGTCAGCCAGGTTTCCAAGGAAACTACTGGAAGTTCTAATTAAGTAAAAAATTCAGACACATATTAATACCAAAGCTCCTTTCATTAGAGTATTGTAGCTCATCAGTTGTAGTATTAGAATGGAGTATAAGCTAGCAATGTTTGCTTACAGCACCATGGATGCGATATTCTGTTTCTGAGGGGAAAAAGGGGGTCGAAATGGACTGGGAAGAAAACTCAGGATTTCTGAATCCGCAAAAGGAAGAAAGCAAGCTATTCGAAGAAAAGTAAGCAGTATTACGTCAAATTTATACTCTTACATAAAAATTTAATGGCCCATTTTCCCCCCAGGCCAGGAAGATAAAAAGTCTTAAGAGAAAATTCCCCTTGGCTGCTAAAAGATTCACAGTTCAGTGTGGCAAAATCAAATACGTATAAATTCCAGAGTATGTAATGGGTGTAATAATGGGAGGAACACGTCAAATGCAGGATGGAAAAGGTACCTTAACATTTGCATTATTTATCCTTGTGCAGATTACTCCACTGAGTGCAAAGTGGAAACAGATGGACTGTTTCATCGGGCAGAACTACCTGAATCTGAGGGGCTGGAGAGGCAGTGAACTTCCACACTGGGGATAACATAACTAGAGAAGCCCACTTTTGAGAAGCTTCAGTCTTCATGATATACCCCTCAAGTATTATTCATGGGAATCAGGAAAAGAAAACCTGTTGCATGAAGGAAACTGTTTTTTAACTTTTAATTCCATCCAAACATTTACTGAATGCCTATTACGTACCCAGCACTGTGCTAGGTGCTGGTTATACATGGATGGACAAGGTGGTTATGGTCCCTTGCCAGCTGGAACTTAGAGGCTAGTGGGGAAAACAGCTTTAAATATTTCAGTCAGAGGCTTTGACCAACTAAACCGCAAGACCTGGAGCAATGAGATCTGGAAAAGGAGACCAGTACACTGGCTATCCCACAGGGCTGTTATAAAGCTCATAGACAAAAGGTTAGAAAAACAGTTTTCAAAAGTCCAAACTGTTATACAAGGGGAAGATAATAGTGTATGATGGGTCAGAAGGGCCAACAAATGCTCAAATCCTAAGCAAAGAGACAACAAGCACCCAAACCACCATGCCTCAACAATCAGAAGGTCAACCAGAACACTCAGGCATATCAGAATGAGAACAGGCTCTGGAGTCCCGCAGACAGACCCTGCCATATGCTTAGCTGTGAGGTGGACCTAGATATTTACTGGTTCTTCATTGTAAACTGGAGATAAGAATTCCTACATCTCCCCCAGGGGTTGTTCTAAGAATCTGAATTTAGAGACAATTCTAAAGCACCTGAAGTGTCTGACATGATACATCCTCACCAGTAGAACTGCTTTTGCTTCATGATGCAAAGATGAAAAAGCCCATTTTAGGGAGAAGGGAACAAGTTAAGTCAACTGAGAAAGCTCTGGTGAAGCTAATGCTGCAGTTACAATTCAGAATCACAACTAAGAATTAACCAATCCCGGCTGCTGACACAAAGTAATGGATCAGAAGCTGAGTCATGTTAAAATTAAAAAATGGCATGCTACTTACTTCTATGTGTTCTTTACAGTATTCCAACCCAATGTCACTAAGTATTTTTTTCACAGTTTTCCGGGCTTTTCTTAAACTGCCAAGATTGTTGACAGGAAGTTGGAACATAGTTTCTATTGGAAAAAAAAATTTAAGTCAAGTCAAAACACGTACAACTTGTAATATTTCCTAGTTCCACTGACGGTAGGACCACAAACCCTGGCCCGCTGACCAAGAAGGTGAGTGGATACCCTTATATAGTATGTTCTGATTACTTAAAGCAGGCAGGCAAAGTAAGTGCTCTCTGATCTTTTCTATTTTTAACAGGACATTTTATGTTATAGATCAACTATGAGTTTAATCTGGCACAATTCTAATTAGAGTTTAAGTTCATCACCAAACTGGTTTTTTTAAAGTTGAGAATTAGGTTAATAATACCAACCGATTATCTTAAAATCGAGTGTGAGTGCTTTTCTCCTTGTGTTGTTGAACCTCTGAAAATAGAAAAATGTTCACCATTTCAGCATCATTATCACAAAATTTTGAGTGCCAGGGAAAAGAAGTTTTTGTTTTCTGGGAACTGTCCTGCACATTACTGTGATGATCTTAAAGAAATATCCTTCAGTGTTTCCAAATACTATCCAAACTAAAGACACTCCTGGTTGTGTACCTCGCCCCCCCAGCCAGCACCACACCTGGACAAAGGCACTCAGCATCAGGGCAGATGATAACTGTGTTACAGACTTTAGGGGCTCCTCTTGAAAAATGAAAAGCTTATATGTATGTGTGAACGAACTGAAAAATTATTTAAATGACCTAATACATTAAAGCACAAATTTAGATCCACTTCCCCAAGTTCCTTAAAAAACAAAAGTTAAAATAAAATTAGTATTTGTATGGCTTCCATGTGACCATAAATGTATCCTATAAAATACGGTAAGAATTTATCAATGTAATAATCCAAATAAATTTCATAGAATATAAAATAGTTCCAAAAACCAAAACCAGAGGCAAAAACCCAAAAGCCAAAGCAATAGGAATTAAAGTTTAATACACACAAATCTGGTGTTCTAATAAAGGCTGTTACTCTATAATACCGCTACCATTTGTAAGTACAACCATAATCAACTAATCTAAATGTAACACAGCATCATGTTACCTCCTTTATTATTCTAATCCAAAAATCAATATTAACTATGAAAAATGGAAGAGTGAAGCCTACCAAAACAAACAACTCCTACAAATTCTGAATTTGGCTATGTCATCAGAACTTAGAAGTTTCAAAATATTCTACATGAAGTATGAAGTATAATTGAGGCCAAGAAAGAATGCATTTCACTAAAAAACACGGATCAGCCTTCCCATCCTCAGCAGCTAAGCACGACTATGTGTCCTCTATATACTCTGCCATCCAACAATCTGCATATGACTTAATAAGCGGACTCAGAAGTCACTTTGGTTACTAATTAATGTGCATTCAAAGCCAAATCCATTATTCCTTGTGGAAATTATATTGCTAAACTGTTTAAACCATCTTTCTGAAAGTTTTAAATCAGTTGCTTAATAAAACTGTTCCCACAACCACGTCAGTTAGAGAGAACTACCTGACAGCAATGTTTCAGAAATACTGAAAATGTTACAGGCTAACTGTGAAGAGACCGGGCATCAAAACAGATGCCCACAAATGCCCCAGCCTGAGAAGAGACAGCTTGTTTCTCTATTCATTTCATAAACTCTCTGTGGGCCCAAATTCAGCAGTTCTTTTGGAACTTCCCAAGTCAGTCCTGCTTCACTTCAGAGGAGAGATAAGCCCAGAAGACAGCCATTACTGCTTTCCCCCGCCTCCTGCTTATACGCAGCTCAACATCTCAGCAAAAACAAATACACAATGATTTGGAAATGTCACCACCATGAAGTCACTAGTCTATACAGAAAACACCCAGGGAATTAAATTGCAGCCGGGGATAAAGGAAAACTCATTCTCCTATGGACAATACATCGGGCATTCTAAGTGCCCACCACCCAGAGCTAACCAAGTGGTTTTAAGACCTCCAACTGAAGCACCTCACTGCATGGTAGGTACCCAATTTATACATCTACAGTTCTGAAAATGTGAGTATGCTCATAAAGGAGCTTAGTTACAAGAAACTTGTAATTTATAAAATGTGGGTATTTCAGCCATGGAGTAAATCTCAAGTTTACTTAGGCTGAATTAAATAGGCATATAAATAGTGAACACTGCTTACCAGAAAATGTTGTACAAAAATGTAATTTTTTTTTTTTTTTTTATGATTAGCAACTAGGAGGGAACCTAAAGTTTACACTGAAAGATGTAGAATACTCTAAGATTAGTGGCATTGTTAATGGATCTGGGGGAATTCTATCTGCCCTCTTCCCCAGATGGAGGTACCCTCTATGTATTTGCTTATGGAGGTCACTTAAGATTTCGTCCATCTGGAGCTAGAATAACACATTCATTCATATGTGTTAGCATCATCAAAAGCATTTACAAAGACCCTTGTTTAAGTTAAACATTCTTTATAAACAGGCATACAGTGTAAAAATATAAGCAAAGAAGGATCCCTCCTACTCCTATCCTCCAGCCACGGAGCTCCCCTTCTGGAAGGGGCCACTGTTACGTCAAGCTTTTCTGCAACAAACCAAAGATTCCTTCAAAGAACATCTCCAACAAACTCTGTGAATGTTAGGATTATTATGGGTGACAAGATAAAGAACTCAAGGACTCTATGTTGTTTTCCCCAGCCTCTTGCTTGCTGTTAAGAAAGAACTTCAAAGGGTACCTGGGTGGCTCAGTCAGTTAAGCATCTGCCTTCTGCTCAGGATCTCAGGGTCCTAGGATCAAGGCCCACATCGGGCTCCCTTAGGGAGCCTGCTTCTCCCTCTCCTGTTCCCCTCCGCCTCCTTGTGTTCCCACTCTGTCAAATAAAAGCTTTTCTTTCTTTCTTTTTTTTTTTAAGGAAACAACTTCAAATCAACAGCTGGCTTCAGGGTTCATCAATGTTATCTCTTTGATTCATACTTGAAAACTTTTACAAGAATTACTCCTGGCCTCCTCTGCACCACTCAAAAGTCCTGTTTAGAAACCTGGACAAGGGGTCCATACCATAAAAGTGACTGAGGGGCATGAACAGAGTAAACAGGAAATCAACTGTCTGAGATTAAGGGCTGATTCCTCACTTTTGAACAGAGAGAGAGCTAAAAACAAAATATTGACAATAATTACTCTTAGGAAGCAAGATGCCTTACAATAAGGTCAAAAACTGTCTAGAGATGGGCTTTCTCTCCAGATTTGTCCCCAGGTGGCTAGTCCTTTCTCTTGAGGCTCCTTGCCTGTCAGAACGGCCATTTTCACCAGGTCAGCACCATTATCCCAACACCAAGGAGAGCTCCTTCAGTCAAACCATAAACCTTTCAGCTCGTAACAAAAAAGGGGAAAATATCCAGTTTAACAGAATGGAACCACGGTTCACCTGTTTATCAGTCATTTTTTCAGAACCTATACTCTGTCAATGTGCTGGGAATAGAGAGATGAACAGGACACAGTTCTTCCCTGCAACAGTCCATCATGTCTAAGGGACGGGACCTAGAGCACATGGCAGGCACCTGTGCACTGGAGTAAAGAAGACGGCTGTTTCTGCTGCCAAACTGCTTCTTGGAGCGACCCCTGGTGCAAATGATGTGCTGTTAGGTGGCCCTTCCTCCATTACAGCAGAGTGTACATGAGTCAGGTCCACCCATCAGAGTATTCTACCTCTACAGACACTGACCGGAAGAACTGGGTGTGTGCCCCAAACAAGGTTGACAGTGATGCTGAAAAGGACTCAGGACCTGCTACCTCATGGAGAAAGCAGAGGGAGGGGAAAGACTCCTATTCAATAACACTTGAAGTCCTCAATCCAGCTGTGCCTGACAGCCCCTTCCAAAGACTTTTCCTAAACAAGAGCCAAGTACATGACCACTTTTGCTTAAACTTTGGTTCATGTTCCTTGCACCCAAAAGTCTTAGTAGACCCACTGGGCAGTGGGACACAGAAGAGGAAGTGAACACGAGAAAAGATGGAGAACTTTATGCTAAGTAATTACACTTGTAAATCAGGTCTAGTAGAAGAATAACAGTTTGTTAGGAAGACACAGTTCTTTGAAAGATGCTTTGGCCCCTGGTTTCATTAATCAAAAACAAAAACACTGTATGAACAGTCAACCCCCCCCCACCCCCAGCCTTTTTTTAGAGACAGGGGGAAGGAGACCGGCAGATCGGTATAGGTGGACGGGCAGAGGAAGAGAGAGAATCCCAAGCAGGCTCATGCACAGTGCAGAGACCGACATGGAGCCTGATCCCACAACCCCAAGATCATGACCCGAGCCTAAATCAAGAGTTGGATGCTTAACAGACTAAACCACCCAGATGCCCCTCCCCTAAATCTTTTAGAATATTAGAAAGGGGGCGCCTGGGTGGCTCAGTCGGTTAAGTGTCGGGCTCTGCACTTGGCGTGGAGAATGCTCAAGATTCTCAACCTCACCCTCTGCCCCTCCCCCACTCAAAAATAATAAAAAAAGAACCGTTAAAAGATTTGGGGGAAAGCTCAATGACCTATTAATAATAGAGTTAACATTTGCAAGTATTTTATTAACTGAAAATAAGTAGCATTTGGGTAAGCATATGCCATCTGATGAACTAGACTTAAAAATACCAGTTTTTGAGAATGATTTAAATTCACTGCTGAATGATTCAGCCACATTCCTTCCTATTGATCTTTGCGAATTATACCCACACCTACTGACAGGGTCCAAAACATTAAAATTTTACTAATAATCCTGGCCAAACTGCTACTCATTTGCTGTCTTAGAAAGAGCAAGAGTCAGATGGCAGAAATGAAAATCTGAGATCTGTAGCCCCAGGCTAGAGATGAACTGAAAACACATACAGAAGACTGATCAAACACAGGTTTCTCTTTCCCCTCCAAATTCCAAAACCAAAAATACTCCTTTACTCCACATACGAAGAGAAATGAGGCAGGATGAGTCTGTCTTATGAGGAAATATCTATAGGCTGAACCTGTACAGGCAAAGGATAGCAGCACCTCAATGACAGTGAACTTCATTTAAGCAAAGAAGTCATTATCTGAGGAACATAATTATAATCATTTATGAAACAACAGCTCTGCCAAAAGGCTTGGATCAAGTCAGGTGTTGTACTGAGGCTCTTCTGGGTCAGGAAGACAGAGGGGAACCCTAGAGCAGACGGTTCTAGTTTAGACGGCTCAAGGCAAGGTTTGCAGGACCTGATGTACCAACAGTGAAGTTTGTCTATGTATATGATAAGGTCCCTTGCAAAGGGATCAAGGATGACATCATTTAGTCCCTGTTTTTAGGGGCAGAAAGAAAGTAGAAAAACATTTGTAACTGTGCCCACAGAAAGTTAAATCAAAAAAACAAAAAACCCCATAAAACCTAACCTTAAACCTTTGACCTGGCACAGTTAATCAAACAAGCCAGGAGAAAAAAAAGCCTCCAGATCAAACTTTTCCAGATTATATTTTAAGCTACTGCAAGTGTGGATGTAACATGGCATCTTCCAGGATATAATTCTTCATATTTTTATGTGCATTCTTGGGTTTCCCAAGTTCTTAATAAGAACATACGGTACTAATTTAACATGCTAACAAGTACAGAAGTAAATATGATAGCATGCCCTAATTTCCATCACCTGCAAGTATAACTGCAACTTTCTCATATCTGGGAACTGAAATCTGAACGTATACCAGAGTGACAACTAATGCATCAGTTATATCAGTGAATACAAATTTACAATTTTCATAAGAAATCTTACACTGCATTGAGAGCTAGACAGGAATGGTTACTTCTTCCCAGTAACACCTAAACATAAGCTGCTTAGTCTAAACCAGTCCAGTGGTTTTCAACACTCTCCCACTCCCCTTTTAAAGAGGAAACCCTTGTTTCTAAACAAATCTTAGCTGAATTATAAAAAAGATAAAAAGTGGAGGGGCTCAGAGGTTGAAATGGAAAGAGGAAGAAGGAAAAGTTCTCAGTTCCTAAGTATCTCCTTGAAATAGTTACTTGTCTAACTAAGCTTCTAACGCAAATTTATGCCAAGGGGACAGTCGTCTGAAATGTAGAATTGGGACCTAGTGGACAATCAACCAAAGCAGGAAGTTTGATGGCTATAGCAGAATTCCAAAAGTTTACTGAAAATCTCCCCTAAGTAAAATTACAGTCTGATCAGAGTATGGTTGTCAGAAGCCCACAGTAAGCCTAAGGATTAGAATACAGTTTATACTTTGGTGTTGTCTTTTAAACATTTCTACATTAAGCTGTAAAGAAAAACACACATCTGAGAAAATCTTTTACTGGGGATGGGGGGAGGGATCAAAGGCTGGAAATAATGCCATTACCAGTGAAGAAAAAGAGCAGTTGTATTTTCTATGTTAAAAAAAATTGGGAAGACATTCAAACTACTACAATACAGACAGTTTCATTTTTGGTAACATCATAAATACAAATTTATATGTAAGAAGAAATTCAGATCCTTGATATTAAATCAAGAAAACAAAGTATTCTAATGTCATGCAGATGCAAGTAGTTCTATAAAGACCTTATAAGCCTGCACTGGGGTGTAAGGGTCAGATATATTTGAAGTTTCTTTAAACCACTAACTAAAAAGTACTGTTTTGTTTTTTAAGAGGCACAGACATTTTAAGAAGATTCTCCTAAATCTTCATGCTATCCATGATGGTACTTTTTTTTTTTTAAAACAGATTTTGTGATGTCTCTGTGGAAACATTTAGGATCCATTAAAATAAAAACTAGGCAGAAAGAAAACATTTCCTTACTTATGTGCTCACTTTTCCTCCTACCACCGGCTCAGCAACATATTTAATACCTGTCAATATCACGGAGTAAAACGGTGGTCATTGTAAAACACTGTTTCTTTTTATAATCAGTAAGTGCTTATCTTTCCTGACTATTCTGGGATCAGAAGCAGTGACCAGAGATACCTTATTTGTTTTTTAAGGGTGTTACTAAGTCCTACATTTAAACTAAACCAGTTGTAAAGAGGTTTATATGTTTGCATTTTGAAAAATAAACCCGTAAAGCCTTTCTAGAACCCTCCAATGAGTGAGCAAGTTCAGAGCCCAGCGCCTACATTTGATCTGGAAGCATCCTACTCAATCTTTAAAAAACAACAGCAGCAGCCAACAACCACCACCACAGTCCTAAACAGAAGCAGCTAATCTTTCAATTTCCTATAAGCTCGGGTAAAAGACCTTGCAGATGCCACAGGCTCTCCACAGAAAGGCAGCGCTAATTGTCTCCTCTCTTTCTCAATCCCAAATACCACAGAACAAGTAACTGACAATCCAGAGGCAGAATACTCTTCTGGATTAGCAGATAAAACTGTGCAGCACGACAGTGGTAAGAAAAGAAAGTTCAGACTCCTTTCTCTCAAGTAATGGAAAACGTGCAGTAGGGTTGAGGCTCAAAAGGGGGGCTTATTTGGAAAGCCCAGGAGGGTTAGGAAAACTACTTTGCAAATGAAGACACACATGTACCAAAAGCCAAATCTGAATAATGAACACCAATTATTTTGCTTAGGTTAATCATATTAGAACACTGTTAATAAAGACAAGAAGCCGGCAGAAAATGTAACCAACTTCTGTTTTCTTCTATACTTATCTACTAACTGCACTGACTTTTACTATTCTCTAATAATAAAAAAATCCCAATAGAGTTAATTGTGTCAAATACAAAACTGTCTCCAGAAAAAGACACTTTGATTTTCTTCAAGTTTTCCCCAAATCAATGATTAAATTCCGTAAGTTTTTATACTATTTTTTTTTTTTTTTGGTAAGTAGACTTGTTATTTATGAAAGGCAAAATGAGTACATTTACCTAAATATAGCATCCAGTAAAGCAATGCTTGGTCATAGGAATACTTTTGGCCACAGTCTATAAACAATGTGTGAATCCCTTCCACAAGTAGCCCTGCTCATAATCTAAGACTCTTTCTCTGCCTGATCACCTCAAGTGAGTGGAGCACAAACCCTGCCAGGCAGCTTGTTCCACACTGGACAGCTCTGTTCACAAGCCCACAGTTCTCAGTTCAGCTACAGAAATCGAATTCCCTAGCCACAGAACAGCCTTTCACATTTTTAAGACCCTTCCTCCTTCCCTCCCAAGTCTTCCCCCTTCTCCAAGTTAAGCACGCTCAGTTCTTCCCACCATTACTTCTGTTATCACAGGAGCCAATCTCCAGTGGATGGGCTCCAGTCTGTCAGTCTCTCTGGTGCCCCGAATAAACTTATTCCAGATGTGACACAATCACAAGGTCAAGTGGGACAACACTTCTCTAGTTCTAGATATTTTCTTAAAAATTTTATTATTTTTTTATTATTTTTAGAGAGAAAGAGAATGTGGGGAGTGGGGGAAGGGAGAGAGAGAATCCCAAGCAGGTGCCGCGCCGGGTGGAGGGCCCAATGCGGGGCTTGATCCCACGACCCTGAGATCATGACCTGAGCCAAAATCAAGAGTTGGGTACTTAACTGACTGGGCCACCCAGACATCCCTAAAATTTTATTATTTTTTTTAAAGTAATCTCTATGCCCAACGTGGGGCTTGAACTCATGACCCAGAGATCAAGAGTCACATGTTCCACCTACTGAGCCAGCCAGATGTGCCCTGGGTATTATTTTTAAATTAATGTTCCTGAAAGGTGCACTGTTTTGGTGGCAGCCACTTTACACATATGACAACAATCAACCAAGATCTCTTTTTTTAAAAAAAATATGTGTTCCGTTTTTCAGTATTAGGTGGTTCAGTTCGTGGGAACAAAAATTTTCTGTACTGAATCCACGTCTGGTTAAAAGGGAAGTTAACTATCAAGTCTTTAAATATCGTCTCAATTAAAGGGGCATGAACATTGTGACTCCAAAATGTAGCACTGTGAATCACTGAGAGAACCAAAGGATTGCCTCATCTAAACTCTTCTCATTTTACAGATTAGCAACTGAGGTGAAGCAACTGGCCTAAGGGTGATCAGCTTGTCTGTGACAGACCTGGGTCTCAAGGTCATCTCCAGATCTAGGATGCAGCGCTCCTCCCATTACCGTTGTAGATGAAGCTCTGATCTCAGACATTAAAGGTAAACAAGAGCATGTTAAATACATACATCTGAAAGTGCCACAACTTCATACTCAAGGTTGAAATGACCTTAAACAAGTTCAACCAAACTAGTTCAAGAGATGAAACAGATTAAGAATACATACACATCTCAGGTCAGACAGTCCCATCAGATCCAGAGCTCTGAGACCACTTGCCTGAAGTGCTCTTAACCATCACTGGATGCCAACAGTCAACAGATAGTCACAACAGAAAGATATCCAAATTGTAATAATACCTTGCAATATGAAAACCACAACCTTGGTATCCCTAAATAAAACAACAGCTTTTCAAAAACAGATGTATCCTATGTCTCTCTTTTATCACCTTCCCATTATCAATACTCAAAACATGCTATTCCAAAAATTGCTTGGGAAAACAGAGGCTTTGGTGATCCTTCTTTTTCTGGAGAGTAGGGTTAGTTAGGCAGGAGGCTAGTCTGCTTTCAGCTACCTTTTAGACTCCTTTTTGCAAATAAAGTTCCATTTGTTTTTATTACAAAAGCAATTGGGAAATAAAAACATACATCTACACAAAAACCTGTACACGAGGGTGCCTGGGTGGCTCACAGTCAGTCAGGCGTCTGATTCTTTATTTCGGCTCAGGTGGTAATCTCACGGGTGGTGAGATCTAACCCCTTGTTGGGCTCCGCCCTCAGCTTGGGAGTCGGCTTGAGATTCTCTGCCTCTGCCCTTCCCCATGGGCTCACTCTCTCTCAAATAAATAAAATCCTAAAAAAACCAGAAACACCAAAAAAACCTGTACATGAATGGTCTCACAGTAGTCATTAATACCCAAGAAGAAACAACCCAAACTCCATGAACTATTAAATGATAAATAAAATGTGGTATATTTATACAGTGAAATATGATTCAGCCATAAAAAAATGAAGTGCTGATATATGCTCCAACATGGATGAACCCTGAAAAATTATACTCAGTGGAAGAAGTCAGTCACAAAAGACCACTTATTGTATGATTCCATTTACATAAAAGGTGCAGAACATGCAAATCTACAGACAGAAAGAGTAAAGCTGCCGAAGGCTAGAGGAACTGGGGACAGCAGACGGCAATTAACTGCTCATGGGAACCGGTTTTTTTTCTTTTGTGGGATGATGAAAATACTCTAAAATTGACTGTGGTGATAGCTGCACAACTCTGTGAATATACTAAAAAACATCAAATTCTACACTTTAAAGGGGTGAATTTTATGGTGTATGAATTACATCTCAGTAAAGTTGTTGCAATTGGGCCTAACAGACTATAGATAAGGCAAGGAACACAAATAATTATATGTAAAGAGTTAACACTGGGTATATTTATCCTTCCAGATTTTTATGCACATGTAATTTTTCTTTTAAAAGGAAATGAATCTTAGGTATCTCAGCATTTAGTCATGCAGCAAGAAAACCAATGCTGCCTGAAAAGTTTTTAATTTTTAAGAAGTGCTTTCCTTCCAACAGGTAGATGCTAGCCACAAGCGGCTCTTCATCACGTAAAACGTGGCTAGTCTGAGCTGAATGGAGATATGCTTTTAAACTAGTTTATTTTTATTGTGGTAAAATGCACATAACATAAAATTTACCATCTTAAGAATCTTTAAGTGTATGGGCGCCTGGGTGGCTCAGTTGGTTAAGCGACTGCCTTCGGCTCAGGTCATGATCCTGGAGTCCCGGGATCGAGTCCCACATCAGGCTCCCTGCTCGGCGGGGAGTCTGCTTCTCCCTCTGACCCTCCCCCCTCTCATGTGCGCTCTCTCTCTCTCTCATTCTGTCTCAAATAAATAAATAAAATCTTAAAAAGAAGAATAGTGGGCGCCTGGTTGGCTCAGTTGGTTGGGCAACTGCCTTCGGCTCAGGTCATGATCCTGGAGTCCCGGGATCGAGTCCCACATCAGGCTCCCTGCTCGGCGGGGAGTCTGCTTCTCCCTCTGACCCTCCCCCCCTCATGCTCTCTCTCTCTCAAATAAATAAATAAAATCTTTAAAAAAAAAAAAAAAAGAATTTTTAAGTGTATAGTTCAGTGGTATTTAGTCATACTATCATGCTACCATCACCACCACCCATCTCCAGAAGTCTTTTCATGTTGCAAAACTGAAACTCTGTGCATTAAACAATAACTCCCTTCTCTTCTGCACTGGACAACCACAATTCTACTGTCTCCATGATTCTGACTACTCTAAGTACTTCATGTAAGTGGAATCACAAAGTACTTGTCTTTTTGTGACTGGCTTATTTTACTTAGTATCATGTCCTCAAGGTTTATCCATGCTGGAGCCTGTGTCAGAATTCCCTTTCTTTTAAAGGCTAAATAATATTCTATACCATCTTTGCACCATATTTTGCTTATCTGTTATTCTAAGGCTGAATAATATTCCACGCTATATGTACACACATTTTGCAGGTGATGGGACACTTCGATTGCTTCCACCTTTTAGCTATTGTAAATATTGCTGTGAACATGGATGTACAAATATCTCTTCACATGGTAATTCTATGTTTCCATAGTGGTACTACCATTTACATTCTCATCAGCGCACAATGCTTCCTATTTCTCCACATCCTCACCAACACCTGTTAATGTTTTTTTATAATAGCCATCTTAATGTGTATGAGGTAGTATTTCATTTTAGGTGTGATTTGCATTTCCCTAATGATTAGTTGATACTGAGCATCTTTTCATTTGCTTATTGGCTACTTGTATGTCTTCTTTGGAGAAAGGTCTATTCAAGTCCTTTGCCCATTTGAGATATGCTTTCACATGTAAAATATACTTGGGATTTCCAAGGCTTAGTATTAAAAAATGCAAAACGTCTCATAAATACCTTTTCAAAATATTGGCATGTTGGAATAATACTTTGGATGTACCAGGTTAAAAATATATTAAAATTAATTTCATCTTTAAATTAAATGTTAACATTAAATGAAATTAAATGTTAAAATGTGGCTAGTAGAAACACAGATGAACCTTGAAGACATATGCTAAATGAAATAAGCTGGCCACAAAAGAACAAATACTGTGCTTTTACTCATATGAGATACTGAAAGCGAAATTCAGACAGAAAGAAGAAGGTGGTTGCCAAGGGCTGGGTAGAAAGAAGAATGGGGACTTGGTGTTAAATGGGTGTAAGATTCAGTTTTGTAAGACGAAAAAAGTTCTGGAGATGAACAGTGGTAATGGTTGCATGACAATGTGAGTGTACTTAATAACAAAGAACTTTATACTTAAAAGTCGTTAAAATGGTAAATTTTATCACAATGAAAAAAAATTTTTTTTCAATGTGGCTACTGGAAAATATAAGGCAATAGTACTGAATATGGAACCAAATAAGGTTTGCTCGTAATTTTATCAGCAGGATAGTGTGGGTTCAAAATTAGAGGCATTTATCATTGATGACTCTCTGCCAAAACTATGAATATTAAGCATCTGTTAAGTTTTTTTTTGACCAGGACAGATCCTCTAAGAGCAAGTCCTGGATGTAACATAGGAACTTTGAAGGACTTTAGAAATAATTTCCAGACCATTTTGGACAATATTAAATGGATGACTCTATGGTAACATTATTAATGCTCCCCCCCCCCCCAATCTTAGAATTCCCTTTCCTAGCAAAAATGCTCTACTCCAAGAGGCCAGGAACAGAGGAATATATCACTTCTGTCAATGTCAAAGGCTCCAATTCACTCTGCCTTAACTAATAGATTTAATCCAGCTGGGGTTACTTTAATAAGTTCAACTATTTTTTGTTTTGCAGAAGTGAAATGATTCTAGAGCACGTAGCAGTAAAGATTTTCAAAGAATTTCCATGTATTAAATTTTTAAATAACCTTAAGTTTCTTTCAAACAGTTATAAGGATAGAACTGCCAAAGAGGAGAGGTCCTAGGAAAAATAAATTGAGAAACCTTTTCAAAGGTAACACAATGATGACAATTTAATCTTGGCAAGTTTTGTTTTCTTTCATGTGGTGTGGCTCATTAATATCAAACCAAGAATCTAATGGGAAATAAGCAGCCCCATTCACCACCTTATCAATCTCCAAAATTATAATTACACTGTGACTTAAAATTTGTTTTATTTTAAATGCTCATCACAGGTGACTTCAGATTTAGGAAAGTATGACCTGAAATTATAATTGATACAGTATGGTAAAGAGGTATTTGTGTCTGTAAATTACCACTATGAATCATTTTTCAGCAGATTGGTTTTCCTGATCTCAAATGATGGAATTACGAACCCTTAAAATATGCAGGAACACAAGGGTGCCATCTCTTGATCCAAACCAAAGAAGTTCTATTAAGAAGATCCTCCTTGTTGTTTTTTCCCCCTTGCTAGGTATCTAGCATCTACAGCAGTGGCTGACACATGGCAGGCACTCAGTAAATGTAGACTAAGGAAAAGCCCCTTCCTAGAAAGGACGTACAGAGATGACACCCCATAAATATCTACAGGAAAAGAAGCAAAGTGTCAGATGTGTCACAAACTGAATGCTCTGAGGTTTCATAAGAGGGAGAATTCACTCTCAGCAGGGGAGCTCAGGAGAAGGTGGAAGTAGATGCTAAGCTGGGGCCACTACGTTAGTTGAGAATCTGCATTCACTGCAAAAAAACACAACAAAAAAACAAAACTTGCTGGCACAGTTCTAGAGGTGGGACAGCAAGAAGTTCTACGAACAACATATAGAGTCCAGAATGGCTGCTATGCCAAGCTTCCGAGTAATAATGAACGACAGGGTTGGGAGGGTAGGTTGGGGAGAGGATAGAAGCCTTGAGTGTGCAGCTAGAGTCTGGTAGGCACTGAGGAGGTGCTGCAGATACTGAAGGAGAGAAAGGATACAATTCTAACAGCACTTTAAGAGAATTAATCTGGCCCGTATGGCAGGTCCCATTACAAAAGGCCTAGAGGAAGTCCATGTGGAGTGAAGTACCTGACCTAGGCAACTGTCAGAATCACCAGAGCTGAGTTTACACCCACCTCAGACCCACACAATCGGAAAGGTCTGCAAGATCACCGGAGCAGAGCCTTAGGTGTAAGACAGTAAGATGCTGAAGTGATGGCAAAAGGAAGATGAAATTCAATGGTGAAGCCTACAGCCTACATCAACATTTGTGTTTCCCAGTAAAGCTATATTGTTTTCATGAATAAAAATTCAGCTGACCTATCAGCTACATGTAAAATTTTTACCTCACAACTTCAAATTTCTGTTAACAAGTAGGGTGACACAACACAGTAAAAGCTTTCCTCTGCTCAAAAGACAGACGGTACGACGTAGTTATTAAGAACACAGTTCCAGAGCTGGGCAGATTTGTGTCCTTACTTAATCCTTACTCTGCCACTTACTAGCTTTGTGAACCCAAAAATATTACTCAACCTCTGGAGGTCTCTTTCCTTATAGTATATGCAGAAGAACACGATTCCATTGTTCAACTCCAATGCCAGAAAGATTAAATGAGATGCTGCCACAGTTAACACTTAAAGCAGTTATCATTATCTTAAAC